TGCTGGTCCGCAATTGGTTAACTAGGTTGTGGAGATACCGGTGCTGTTGAGACTACATTGTCAGCGTGGCCAAGACGTAAGCCTGTTACCAGTTCCGTTCCAGGGGCTCCGACCACAGCCAGCCTAGCTGCCAGTTTACAATGAGGACCCCAGGGCAGAGGGCGCTCATGGAGAGAGTAAGTGAAGGCAGGCCGCTGTGATTGCCCGAAGCCAGCGAGCCAAAGCTCTCCTTCTCCAGTGACGGGACGACCTTGGAAAATCACCTGGCTTCCTGAGGAAGCGCTGCCTGGCACGGCCTCCTACCCACACGCCAAGTCTGCAGTGGGACCAGAAGGTTGTGTAAGAGCGTTTTCACTGAGGCACTATGTGCGCGTGCAGAGGATGGTGACGGGGTGCAGGCACACATCTCCACCCCCACTGACGGGCTTCATACGTGTTCGGAGGATGACAAGCACCGTGTTTACCCAGGTAGTGCCTGCACACGGAGGGGATTATGACACCAACCAAAGGCAGGAAAGGAACCCGCTGTCCCAGCAGACGTTGATGGCAATACAGCCCCTGTCAGCGCCCACTCCCGAAATAACTGCCACACACACTCCTCCCCGGACAGGGTTCCCACTGACTGGGTTGGCGTGAAGACCCCTATGCATGAAGGTCTGGCTTTCATGAGCAATTGCTATCGCATTCTTTCCCCATCTGGGTCGATATCAAAGCCACCTGTGTATCGAGTCTTCCTCCTAGAATATACACTGAGTGGACAGATTATGATGATCTGTGTGTGTGTGTGTGTGTGTGTGTGTGTGTGTGTGTGTGTGTTAGAGGCCGGTGGATGAATTCGTGCATGGATGGGAGTCTAGCCAGCCTGGCCAGGGGGAGGGTACATGGGTGGTTGGTCGGCCTGCCTGCTGGTTGAACTCCTGGTTGAGGGGACAATTTGCATATTAGCCTTTTATTATATAGGATAGACACTGAGTGTCCAGATGATTATGCATTCAGAGATCATCCTAATCTGGCCACTCAGTGTATGTCCTTAGAGTGTTCCCAGCCAGCAGCCCAAAGGACACGGCCACTGTAATATGTGTTTCATCCACTGCTGCTTTTATTTTTTTCTGGTTGCTTCAAATACGGGGGGTAAAAAATGAGGGGGGGAAAAAGGGCCAAGAGACCCAGATGGAGACCAGAGTCCTTTGACTTTTCGCCTCGAAAGCACCGTGGGCAGCGCGCAGGGTTCCGCACGGCGGGCTGGCGGCCCGGGGCCTCGCAGCTGTATGACAGCAGCGGGGGAAGATGAGAGCGCCTAGCCTGGGAATGGCAGCCCACCTTAACATCCATCCTTCAGGGAAGCCATTCCCACAGCCAAATGCAGTCGTGAAGATTTTATTTGTCTTTTACATATATATTTATTGATTTCAGAGACGAAGGGAGAGGGAGAGAAAGGCAGAAACATCAAAGATGAGAGAGAATCATGGATCAGCCGCCTCCTGCACGCTCCACACTGGGAATCAAGCCCACAATCTGGGCATATGCACCGACCAGTGATGGAACCACGGCCTCCTGATCCAACCACTGAGCTACGCCAGCCAGGCCAGGCCGTGAAGATTTTAAACTGCACGTGTCTGGTCCACGCTGCCTCTCAACATTCCCAGCTGCCTTTTCCCTTTTCCAAGAGGCTTAGCTCAGGACAGGGAGCTCCCACCTACACTCCCACTGCGGCTCACGCAGAACTGGCACCTCAGGTCACCATGCAAACCCCTGCTCCCCGGCGCCGCACACGCAGCCTGGAAACGCCGGGACTCTGTTGCAGGCGGAGGGCTCCTCTCTGTCACCGGCCCCCTCTGCAGCAGGACCAATCCACGTCGCAGCTTTAGACAGACACAGGGCACGAGCCCACTGTAGCCTCTTTAGAAATCACATTTCCTCCCCTTGCCATCCATCCCCACCTTCCAGGCTCAGAAGTAGGACAGCCAGGCCCAGCCCTGCCAGAGTGACCTTCTCTCTCGGGCCCAGCACTGAGCGCTCAGTCACTACCACCGGGGATTCCTCCTGGCGCCAAGCTGATCTCTCACCTCCCACGTGCAACCTCACCCACGCCTTCCCCAAACCACAGAGCAGTGAGAGGGCCAGCGGACCCCAAGCAGCATCTGCCCAGGTCGGGTCATTGGCACTGATAGGTCGGTCCATCAGGCACCAAGGACGCCGAAGGGGAGATTTTTAGCATCTATGGGCTGATCTGGAGCCAAGGAGGGCGTGTGTACAGCGCTTGGGGAATATTAAGTTTTATTTCTTATTGGAAAAGCCATGCTCAGATTAATAATAATGTATCTATCTGTCTATAAATCAGGTCCTGCTCAATCAATCTCTCCACCGACTTGACAGCAGAAAAATACATTTATAGTGTGTCTGTGTGTGTGTGTCATCAAATCTAAATCTGAGACAGACTGCTATGGTTTGGGTTTTATCCAAAACAACATCTCAGGTTATTCATTGTTAGCCAGCATGTCACGATATGAAAGCAAACTAAATCTATGTGCTCCAAGCAGCTCCTCACACCTACTAGAAATTTCACAAGCCAAAACCTGTGTCCCAAAAACATGGGCACACTTAATTCAACATAATGCCACGTCCTTGGCCCCACCGTTCTTTGCTCAGAATAATAACTGCCTCAGGCATTTTCCGGCAGCGGGATCGGAGGGGATTCTTTGGCTAAAATGAGGCACCGCTCTGCCTTTCACCTCCAAAGACAGAGCCTTTTGGAAGCAAATGTACCGCCGCTCACCAAGTCAGGAGAAATCCATTCCCGATTTAGAAATCCAATTTCGCTGGGGTAAGCCTCCCAGCTCTGAGAGCAAGCCCGTCAGAGGCTTATTATTCATAAATCTTTCCCGGGGATTGGAGTCCTCCCAGCAGCCACTTCCCTCTCGTGTTTTTCTACTTCTCTGTGTCAATAAAAATTTTAACTCTTCGAGTCTCGCTGGATGCCCAAGTTCAAGATAGGGATCCAGATACCCAGCAACATTGCTGTGGGGTGAAAAAAATCTTCTGCCTGTCCCCAAGCTGAACGTGGGCGACGTCTGTGCCTGAGGACTCACCGCAGGAGAGGAATTGCAACCGGAGCTCGGAACTCTCGTTACGCTCAAGTAGGGCATTATGTCAAGAAAAAAAAATGAAATTCTTGGCCTAATCAGATAATGAAGGTGCTTTGTTCATAGGGGAATGAAAATCTCTGAGCCACCAAGATCCTAATGAATTCATTTTTTAATTACAAAAATAATAATAAGCCTAGATAAGGTGTCCCCCCCAAAAAATGTATGCACACTTACAGCTGCCAGCTCACCTGATGTTTCTTTCTTTACAGAGTGAACCCATTGGAATGAATAATTCTTCAAAGCGTGTATGCATTTTTTTGGGGGGGGGATGCTCTGTATTTCTGAAAAACCTTTTTTTTAATATTTTATTGATTTATATACAGAGAGAAAGGGAGAGAGATAGAGAGTTAGAAACATCGATGAGAGAGAGTCATCGATCAGCTGCCTCTTGCACACCCCTACTGGGGATATGCCCGCAACCAAGGTACATGCCCTTGACCGGAATCGAACCCGGGACCCTTCAGTCCCCAAGCTGACGCTTTATCCATTGAGCCAAACCGGTCCTGGCTATTTCTGAAAAACCTGTCTCCACACCACAAAGACTATGAAGAACATCCGAGTTTGCTGGGTCATGTATTCAGAGGTTGGGAAGTGAAAAGACATTCTGGGAATGGGGTGGGTAAACGTCATATTTCACATCAGTAACTACCATGGCAACAACAACAAGGGTCTAGATTCCCAGCCAATGGCCCTCTTGAGATAATATTTAATATAACGAAATGCCAGCAGAGCCCAAAAGGTCCCTCTGGAGTGGTAATGACTCTGACGTGTGTCTTTTGCGACCCAAATTGCAATCTCCAGGGCACCCATAACGCGTGCTTTCAGTGTTAACTGGAGACCTAAACCACGTGCGTGATATTTGAGACAAGAACACGCTGCCTTGTCGATGACTAATGAAGTCTGGGACTAATCGACTACTTACGATCATCTGACTGCTATCCAAATCTCATAACGTTTTAATGCTCCGCGCTTCACAGTTCTATTCTCCTGGGTGCCTGCTCCTTCAACACAGGTAGGCAGCTTCATTGGTGTTAGGAGAAAATATACATTAAGATAAAAGAGCTCTCTGGGTACCTGTGATAACAGGATGAAATAATCTGATTTTCAGTGGAATGCATTATTAGGTTGGCTCAGAAATTCCGAGATGATCTTCTCGCATTATGAACTGAAGAATAAGGAAATGAAGCAACTTGGATTTTTAGACAAACGTCTTTCGTTCACTTCCAGATGTCTTGGGGTTGTTACTGACTTTTGCCTTCCAAGGCCATGTTCTTCCCGTTCCTGGTCACATCCCAGCTCCTCCACGCCAAGCCTTAGTTCCCCGTCCATAAAATATGATCCTTCCTACAATGGAAGGCCCGTATGGAGGCTGGATCCCAGCACACAAATAGTCCGGTCTCCACTATACCCATTTAGTTTCTATGAGCGACCGCAGGGACACGCACAGCTCCCGTCCTTCCCCCGGGGCCAGCCCCGTGCAGATTTGAAAAGTCCTTTAAGAAGTCAAGCATTTCACAGTTTTCAAAGCACTTATCTCATTTGATCTTATTTTATCCTCACAACAACTGGGGTGGTTCTCACCAGCCCTAATGAAGCAAGCAGAGAACTCTATTTGCGTTGTAATTATCCTGTTGCCCAAAATGGGAGTCCTCTTTTGGGGAGGGAGCTGTTCCTACCTACTGCATTTAGCTAGCTCGGCTTCCTCTGTAAAACCAGACCGTGTTGCTACTGAGAATCGCTAAAATCCACTCTGCACCAAAGCACAGACGTGCAGAGGGAGCTGATTTCTGCCACGTGTGCCCACAGCTGCAGGTGGGAAAACAGCAGGTAGTGGGACTACTGGTGTGGTCTTACCGTTTTCACCAGACGTCTTGTCTTTTCCATTGGTTGCGCCAGCTCCTTGTCTCTAAAGGTATAAAGAAAAGAAAAGAAATCGTTATCAAATATATTCAGAATTATGTTGTCTCTCTTATCGTTTCAAGTATCTCTTTCATTATATCAAGTCTTACATTACTTTGGCTCAGGTGGTTAAAGCCAGGTGCGCCTGAGACCAGGAAGGGTCTACTGAAGTGGCACAGGCTGCCTCCTTGTTCGTATCGAGGGACAGTAGATGAGAGATTGTGCTGACGGAGCATAACCTCATTGAAAATATGAGGGAAACAGCCAAGTGTCTGTGAGAATATCAGCGCTGTCACCTTCATCATTCCAACCACAGTGTTCAATGTCTTACTTAAATAAATTTGGTCAACTGATATATCAGGTTAATAGTGATTTGTTCTCCTATTGTTGAGTTACTTTGCTGTCATCGTTTATGCCTCCCTCCCCCACTCCCCAGCACATTTTTATTTTACCAGGTTGACCAGAAGTATGAATATTTCATGGTTGGATTTGCATCTTGGAGCAAGATGGTCTCAGTATGAGGTCGGGGAGCTAAGTGAAATACACGTATAAACACATAGCATGCTTCCTCATAGCTTCTATAGCTACTGCTTTTTAAATAACATGATGATCAGAATTGTAGGCTGTGGAGAGAGAAGTATTTTGTCCATCAAATTTTCTGGTAATTATCAGAAAACATGCTTTAAGTTGAAAAGGACTGAAGAGATGTAAAGTCTCTAACTTTTAGGTGGGGGAAAAAAATGAAGCCAGATAGGAAGACTAACTTGCATAAGGTTGCAGAGAAGACTGGAGACTGGACTCTCTAGCCGAGAGGTCCAGTGTGGTGCAGAAACTGTCACTGTTACATAACTATCTGCTTGGCACCTTGGAGAGAGAGGCAGAGCACGGGGCAAGGAGAAAACCATATGAGTGACTCCTGCTAAGGGATAAAGGTGCCCTCAAAATTTATATTTTGGTCCACGACTTCAGCCTAAAAATAATATCAAGAAAATAATAATCCGTTAGTCAGTTTCCATTAGTATTCCATGTTGTCATGAAAATTCCTGGGTCCTTAGTCAACCTTGAGTGAGAAAATGCTGCTTTAGGGTTCTGATTAGTGTAAATAAATGGGGTGAATAATAAACACTCGTGTTAATGAAGTTAACCATCTTGTGTATGCATATGGTCTTTGTAGATGACCACCCAAAAGAGGCAACCTCAAGTCTCCTGTTTATTACCACGTCTGCCACACTCACATGCACACCCCACACCAGTCAATGTGAAATGCAAATGCCCACCCAGATCAGGTGGTAGGACTACTCTGAGAAGGGAAAAACCACTTCTCTCTGGCAGGAAGTGGAAGGAAAGGTGACTGACAAGTTGGAAATTTTACATACATGTGGGTCCCTTCTTCATGTTTTAGAACACCTTACATGTTCAGAATGCTGGCTCTCTCCCATGTTCCTATGGAGAGAGAAGGTTCAGGTCTCAGCCAAACATCATTCATTCCTCAACACACTCCAATGAGGTCCCCATATGGTGGCATCATTATCTAAACCTGTAATGTTCAGCCTCTTCCTTTAAACCAGAGCACACATTTCTGAAAGATAGCTTTGCAAGTAAAAATGCTCCTTTCTTCTTGCCTGGGTTTATTCTGATGGCTCCCCTTTCACACTCAGAGGAGGTGGTAAGTTCACTGCACTGGATGGAAATCTCATCACCATGGTGGAGACCCAACAATTGTCTGGGTGTTCAGACCCTCCCTGTCCCCGAATTATGCAGAGATGGCTCATTAAAACAAATCAAATTCCACGAAATAAAAGAATAAATGTTCTAGAGCTGAATAAAGTTGCTTTAAATGGCTTACACATGCAAAACAGGCGCACATTCAGCCCCACTGTGGTATTTAACTACCTTAAACATTGACACCTTTCAAATGTCATGAATACTTCGCTTCATAAAAGATCACCTTTTAGAAACCAAATGATGTGCACTCATGGGACAAAAAGGAGCCCTTTTTCCAGGATTCCTAAGACAGAGTTTTGTGTCAGGTCTCGTCTGATGGAGGCAAAATGCAGCTGATACATGTCATAGGGGGATGGTGTCTCGGATCCAAAAATGATCCTGACAAAAAAGAACTAGTCATTGAAAGCACCTTTTTTCAGAATTCTTTGAGACGTCGGGACATTTTTAAGACAAGGCTGAGAGCAGTGAGGTAATTGTCCAAGAGCTTTTCTGTTGCCGGGCTCTCCGTGGTCATCACCCATGATTGTTTATCACCAGGCGAAGGGGCTGAAATTCCCCGGTAAATGGGGAGAGTGTAAGTCAGGCTGGTGTTGGGCTGGCCACAACATACACGTGCCATGGCCAGGCACCCTCCAAGGCTCCCAGGCATCATGGACTCTTAGAATTCTGACAGTATTCCTGACAAGGCACACACCACCCTTGTCCTCATCAGCCTCACTTTACAGATTGCATCCTAAAGGCACAGAGAGGATTTGATCAAGGTCTTGCAGCTGGGAAACGGCAGAGACATAACTCCGACCCAGAGATGCTGGCTCCAAGGTCTTCCCTTTAAAACTGAGCCTGACCATCTCCCTCTCTCCTCCTCTCCCTTCCACTCTGAAATCAATAAAAAAAAATTTTTTTTTAAAGAAAACTCCTCGGCTCATTAGAACACAGACATTTTCCTCCAAGCATTTTCCTGTTTTTTTATTGTCCCCACTTCACCACTAGGAAATGGTAAATGCCCACCTAAGGATGCGACACGAGGAGTTAAAGTCACAGCCTTGCAATCACCATCGTCTCTGACCCAGGCTATGGATCTGCTGAGTGACAGCAAGGAAGCCTGAGGGTCCGAGGCCGAACCACAGCGGAGAGGACATCTCTCAGACCCCCCAACCCCCAGCAGCTCCCATCCCACATCCTTCCCCGGTGACGCTAACAAATAACCAGCTAGGGTTTCAGGATTTCATAAACCCCCAGTTAAAGGAGCCTAACCAGAGAGTGCATATCTGATTGCTCCCCTTATAATCTAGTAGTGCCAAGGGTCAATAAGAAGGTGGGAATGGTATTAAAAGATGTCATTTGGGGAGTCTTTTTGCCTGACAGTCCATTGCAGCAAGGGCTACAGGAAATAACAAAGACTGTGTCTTCCTTTCGCTTCCCAGAAAGCAGAGCCTGAGACAGATGTTGTTGGTGCTACACACGGAAGAGGGGGCACCAGGAAGGAAGGAGGGAGGGTGGAAAGGAGGAAGAGAGAGGCGATGGAGGGTTCTTCATCCAGATGGCACTGCCAGGTGCATGCCACGCTGATCTTGTGCCCTCTGGGCAGGGCAATCTGTGCCTGAGGACTGACTCAGGCGGGAGGAAGTTGAGTGAGTTATCATCACCTGCCCCTGCCTCTCCTGGTCCCAGACATGTGCTATAGCATCAGTTCTCAGCACTGTTATCCTGGGCAGCATCTCAAACTCGGCATCTGCCGGGAACAAGCAGGAAGCCCCGAGGCAGGAGGTGAGTGGTGGAGGCCCACAGAGTGGGCAGGAGGCGGCAGCTGTCCCTTCACACCTGCCTGAGCCCAGGGAGCCCACACCGAGCAGGCAACCCACAGGGTCCCACGGATCAGTCTGGTGAGAGATGTGTGACTCAACACAGGATTTGGCTGGGTGACTCTTTTCAACCAAGTTGCAAGATCAGGGACAATCCCTTACGTAAGATACTCCACCTGAAGAACGGGCCACGCCAGCCCGTCAGTAAAAAACTGACTTGGGATCCATTTCTCCCCAACCTTGAGCTTGGAGTGGCTATGGAGGCACATCTGAGACTCTCATGCTGCATCTGGGGGCTGGTCTCACATCAGTAAGACCATGTCTCAGCAAAACAAATACCGTATTTTCCGGCGTATAAGATGACTTTTGAAACAAAACAAAAAAGCCTGCTCAGATTGGCGAGTCAGAGAGGCAGTCTATTAAAAAAAGAACTGGTGTTGCCTCGGAAGTGGGGGGTAGTCTTATACAGCGAATATAGGCCTAAACCTATGATTTAACTGTAAAATTAGGGGTCATCTTATACGCCGGAAAATACGGTAAGTAAAATCTATTTTAACAATTATAACCTGCGTGTCTTTTTCCATATGAACAACTATAAACCTACTCTTGCCCAGCCCTGTATAAGGGGCACCAACAAACTCATTAAGACAAATACCGCACAGGATGACTTGCATGTGAAATATGGAAAAATAACTCAACTCATAGGAACTGAGAGTAGATCCGTGGTTAACAGGGGCTATGGGTGGAGGGCCCACAGAGGGAAGGGTGAAAGGGCTAAGATAAATAAGGTCTGAGGATCTAAGTCGAACACGATGGCTGCAGTTGATAGGACAGTGGAACTCAGGTCTCACACAGAAAGAGGTACATATGTCAGGGGATGAACGTGGTCACTAACTCGGAGGCGGAATCTTTCATGGAGTAGACATACATCAGATCCTCATGGTGCCCTCCTTACGTGGGTTATAATTTTGTCAGTTACATCTCAACGAGATGGAAAAGATAATATTTTAATTCAATATTTTGGAAAAATCAAAAGTACTACAAAAAGGCATGATAAGCACCCTAGCCCATTTGGCTCAGTGGATAGAGCATCCACCTATGGACGGAAGGGTCCCAGGTTCGATTCTAGTCAAGGGCACATACCTCTGTTACAGGCTCCTCCCGGCTCAGGCCTGGTGGGGACTAGTGCAGGAGGCAACCAATTGATGTGTTTCTCTCACATTGATGTTTCTCTCTTTCCTTCTCTCTTCCACTCTCTCTAAAATCAATGGAAAAATATCCTCGGGTGAGGATTAAAAAAAAAGTCATGATAAGCAAATATCGACATTTTGCATAAGACAGGGGCCATCTGTACTGGTGGATATTTCCTTTGGCCTCAGGCTCCTGCTGGGCTCCCAGGCTGTGGTCACGGGTAAGTAAGAGATTGGAGAAGTGGGGTGGTGTGGAGGCTCCGGAGTTGTCCTAAGACAGCCTTTGGAAC